ACATGTCTTTGTATACAAAAAAACAAATTCTATCCAAAACTAGAGACTAAATGACCTTTAGAATATTTCCCTATACAATATTGATATAGGACAGATGTTGATAGATAAAATATTTGTTGAATCAACTAATTTAGAACGTGTCAATCGAGTAGAAAGAACTAACTAAGATATCATCTGGATGTATTTTAAAGAAAACAAAAATTAGTTGCTAATATATATACAACTTGTGAGATATGACCTTTTTTTTTTGGTTTTGTATTGTTTCTGTTTTTTGACAATATCGAACATCTAGAGCAATGTTTTCTTTTATAAAGAAGTTAATATTCTTCTGATTGATATTATTGTGGGTTGTCTTGTAGTATAAGATTGTTTTCTTTTTTCATGTTAAATTAATTAAAATCATGTTTAATAATTTATTTTTGTTTTAAAGATATAGAAAAATAATATTTGATTTTCTATATTAAAACTTAAGTTTCTGTTTTGTAAGGTGTGGATATCGTTTCTAGTAATACTCACACCCACCCTCGAGATTGAAAGTAAAATGTTTTTATAAATAATTGACACATTAAAACACTAAATTAATTAACAACAAGTACCGGGTTGTGCATAACCTTTTGCTATGGGGGTAGCGCTATGATTTCAAGTTAAATATCTAATGAATTTTATACCAAATTAAAGATCGTCAAAACCTAGATACATTAGTACTAAATAGTAAGAGTTATCAAAATATTTTAATGTCGAACTTACGAAATTCTCGAAAATTTTATGCTTTTTTTAGCATAGAGATTTAGGACACCAGCAATTCAAATATAGAGTAAAATATTTTCTTTTGATATTTTTACATGGTTCGATAGGGCCCGTCGAGATCTACAAAACTATATATATTAAAAGTTTCTTGAACCATTTTTCTGAGATAAAAAATCTAAAAAATGACTTGTAAAATCCTAAAAAATCTTTAAAAACTCGATCTTTTTTTATATGGAAGAAAAACACTCGATTTCTTCGATAAAATTAACTTTTTTCATTATTTTTACTTACAAAGACGCTTCGAAATATACTCATCCGATGCAGCATGAAAAATTGCGTCTAATGAGTATATCTCGAAGCGTCTTTATGAGTGAAAATAATGAAAAAACTAATTTTATTGAGAAAATCGAGTGTTTTTCTTCCCTATAAAAAACTGCTGATGCCCTAATTTTCTATGCTAAAAAAGCATAAAACTCTTACTATTTAATACTAACGAATCCAGTTTTTCACGGTCTTTAATTTGGTATTTAACTTGAAATCATAGCGCTACCCCCCCCCCCCTCCCCCTTCCTTAGCAAAAGGTTATGCACAACCCGGTATATTGTAATTTATTTCTAACACTATTATATACAATAAAGAGACAAAAACAACATAAGAATTAAATAATAAATTAACGAAAAAAGCAATTTGAAAAATTAATTTTTGGTACAATAGATATTTGTTTATCTTTTAATGATATTCCATATTGCATTGTAAAAAAATCATTTTGTATCCAAAAAAATTTATTTAATGTTTTTAAAGTTTCACGTTTTTTTTTCAATTCCATATTTTCTATATTCCATATAGTATCAATAAAAATATTTTCAAGTGTACAAAGTAATGCATTTATATGTATATAATCAACATTAATTGATGCTGAACCACCTTTATTTGTATGAATTTCTCCAACACGTGATAAATATTGTAGAAATGTATCATTCCAATCTGTTTGTGTAAATACATGTGTTAAAAAAATACTTAACATATCTTTACGATAATCAACTTGTACGGAATCTAATGTTATACCATGATCTTTATTTGGTGAAAATTGTTCAAAACCATCATGATGTATAAGAAAATAATCTTTTGTTATATCATATGTATATAATTTTTTATAAACTGTTTCAACTATAGTTGGAAGAAGTGGAAATATAATTGGTGCTAATGTATTAAGTATTTTAATATCATCTTGATTAAAATCAATAAATTTTGATATATAGTTAAAACGATAATTTAAATCATTATTGAGTCGAGTTTTGTCAATATGTTCAGTCATGATAAAGATTTTCAAATGATCTTGCTTTACTTTTTTTTCTAAGAAGTGTACGTTTCTTTTTTTTCTTTTATAGAAAATTCTAAATAGAAGTAGTGATGTTTATTCATGCACAATCGTCATACTTTTCTTTATATGAAATATTTATCAAGTACAAAAGAAATTTTATATAATTGTAATAAGCTTTTTTTAGATATTGTTTTACTTAAGAAAGATTTTTTTTTTTTTTGAATTATTTATTCGACTTAAAATAAAAAGAAGAAAGTATTATCTGTGATAAAAATCCATACTTAAAAGTTTTCTACTGCAAGTTCCACAATAACACAAACTCCTATGAAGATATCAGCAATGGAAATAACAAAATATGAATGAGTATTGAATATGTTTCTCTAGTACTTCTGACTTTCAACCAAACTCTTATTTTTCTTTAATTTGAAATCATCCGTATTTAACGCATTCATTAAGCGAGTGAGACTTGTTAGTTTGAACTCTCGAAGTATTTATTCAGACATATACTTAAGCAATTTTATATGGATAGATACAATCCTAGAGATATTCTATTGCAAAAAAATAAAATATCATAAAACACTAGTATCTAGTAACAATAAGTTTTTTCAAACGCAAAAAAAAGGAATGAAAACGGATATTGAGGAAGTTGTTTTCGCAGAATATTAAATCTAAATTTCATTGTTATAAATAAATAGCAAATTATAATCGAAATACAATTGAAATCATCTATTGTAAAATAACGGATGTCCAAGTAAAATGATCTTTATTTTTTAATTGCGTTATTAAAAATTTTTATCAATGATAATAATCATGTATGAATTTATGTCAAGAAATATTTTCAATCTACATTGGCAATTAAATTATTTGTTCTTCTTTTGTCATGATACAATATAGATCGATAGAAATACTAAAAGAAATTAATTTTTTCAAGACACTATCATCAGTTTTTACTAAGATTAGAGCCTAGAGTATATTACATATTGTCGAAATAATAGCGGTCTGAATATTTTATCAATACTTGATTTTCTCAAGATTTAACTTTTATTCAAATGATTGCGGTCATATAAGAATGTTCTAATAAAAACCTTAAGAGAATTTGAGTTCCTACTGAGATTTGTCTAAGCTATCGAGTTTTTTTATATGTCCACTTTCTAGAGATCTGAATTTTCGGAAAACTCAGATCTCTAGAAAGTAGATATATTTGACAGCAAGTCGATCTTATACATGATAGAATGCATTTATCGATACCATTAACTATCTATGCTTGTCAACATTCGAAAACTTCTAAAGAAAAAAAGAAGAGTAAACGAAAGGACAAGCTAGAAACTAGATCCATAATAAAATAAGCTTCGCACCAGTATCAATTTTTATCAAAATTATTCTAATTTGTTTTAGCTTTGTCAAATAATTCAGATTTCTTTTTTAGATATTTGATGCTATTTCAAAAAAGCGCCGTAAATAAAAAAATATACGATTATTCCTGAAAGCTAAAACAAACCAGAACAAATTCAAAACAATCATAAAAAATCGAAACCCATTGCAACATTTGAATAAATGACTTCGTTGATTAAATTAAATTTTCAATCATAATATCATATGATACCCAAATATTTAGAAAGAAAATATATTCTCTTGATTAAAATAAATGGAATACATTCTTTCTTTGTATTCAGTTTATTCTAATCAAGGGAATATAAAACTTCGAATTAATAAAAACATTCAAACTCGCTTATGAAAAAAAAAGTGAAAATGTGAAGTAGCACGATGAATATCTTGTAAAAGGTAATGATATTTCGTTAACTCATTTAAAAATATTTGCACTCATTAATCTAAGAGAAAGTACAAGCACGCATATTTATATGAACTTGAAGGACATAGCACTATATGAAATTTTTTCATTGTTTATAGTTTTATAATAATATTAGAAGTTTTTATATGGAAAAATAAAATAAGAAATTACGAAAGAAAATTTTTTGTATTTGCTAAACTAGTCCAATCATGAGAGTATAATAAATCTTAGTACCCGGCAGACCTATAAAGTATTTTGAGTTCATATTTCATAACACATAGAATCTGCATGCTTTTTTTTCATACGAAAAATAATAAGAAAATCTCGTGAGATAAACACTTCTTTTTCGCATTCTATCAATCACATACAATCAAACGTTCATTCCATCTCATGGAATATTTCAAAAAAGAAAAGATTCGTCTCATGAGATGATATTGTTTAATCGCTCTATTCATAGGCTTATTCCATACTGTGAAATACAATATATTAAGAGAACTTTTATATAAATGTTCTTAATATTTAGTCATTATAATTATTGTTTTTATCAGATTTATTACTGCTCAATATCTTGACATGTAATTATTTCTATTGAATTAAAAATAGATATAATACTATATAGAACATAATCACATGAGAATATGTGAAACTATTGTTCTTGTCAAAAAAAAAGTAATCTTTCTCATCACAACACATAACTAGGATAATAACAATAATAAGAAATATTCTCTCGGGAGAGAGAGTGACAGACATTCGAATACGTTGTCAGATACAAATCAAATTCTATTTCCATAGGTACATCTAATTCTTTATTCTCTATGTTTTTATTGATCGTTTTACAATAGTGAAAATTAGAAAAACAAGTATCTATTTTATAATCGAAAATATCTGTTTGTCAAAAATTTTTTTACGTCGTTTTCTTTGCATAATTATTTCTTTTTTTACTTGAGCAAATTATTAAAATAGGATGAAATATAGCATCTTCTGTTTTTTTTTAATCTCATAGATTATGCTTTAACTAATATTCGATCATGATCATTGATATAATACAGATATTTGTTATTTAAATAAATAAAATAAAACTAAAAAATTCTATTTATTATCATTAATATAAAATAAGAACTCTACGTCTAACAAATACTCTAGATAAAAATATAAATTCGTCATTTGTTTTCAAGAACAAAAGAATCTATTATAAGTATAATGTAACAAAATGATTTCATTGTTTAAATGTGAAGTTTTCAGGAAATAAATTATCTTTGATAGTTATCATGACGAGTTTTTTTTTTCTTTTATAAAATATACAATTATTATTGAAAATTACATTTCTTGATCATTTGTAATGCAAGATTTTGATTGATCAATCAATTAGATGAGATATGAACAAAACAAAAATCGATACAACTTAATTAATTAGTTTATTAGAATAAATAAAAACGATCAATTGATACATAGAACATCAAAAAATTGTCTTGTTTTGTTTTTATTTAAAAGAACAATGTGCTTGTTTTTTTGATGGATTATTTGGAATTGAATCTTGTTTTAATGATATTCCATAATGCATTGTAAAAAAATCATTTTGAATCCAAAAAAATTTATTTATTGCTCGTATACCTGAAAATTTTTTATTTTTATCAAGATTATCTGTATTCCATATAATATCAATTAAAATATGTTCTAAATATCCCAATAAATTATTTATATGTATATAATCAACATTTGTTGATTCTGTATGATCAGATTCTGTATGTATTTCACCAATTTGTGATAAATATTGTAGAAATAAATCATTCCATTCTGTTTGAATAAATATACGTTTTAAATATACACTTAACATATCTTTACGAAAATCTGTTTGTGCTGATATAACAGATACATTTGTTTCATCATTTGATGAAAAACTATCAAAATCATCATTACGCATAAGAAAATATTGTTTTGTTATATCAAATGAATATAATTTTTTATAAATTGTTTCAACAATAAATGGAATACGTGGAAATATAATTGGTGCTAATGTATTAAGAAGTCCGATATCATCTTTAGTAAAATTAAGAAATTTTGATATATAATCAAAACGATAACGAAGATTATTATTTAAACGATTTTTATCGATATGTTCAGCCATTTCAATCTAGAAAAAGAAAACAAAAATGCTTAGAATCTTATTTCACAAATGCTTTCTTTCTTTCTCTCGTTCTATGAACATAGAAGAAATAAAAAGAACTTTGGAAATATATGACATTGATAAATTTACATCATTTAATAATACTATTGAACGGAAGTAGGCATGTTGGAAACGAGTAAAACAAATGAAATACTATGGAGAAAATGTCTTTATGATAAATTTTGCAGTGCTGTGTTTTTTTGCTCACCTTTCCATAGAAGACTCATGACAAAGAAAAGGATGTACTCTCAAACGTTCAGTAGAAAAGAAATAAAAAAAAGAACGACGTTATTACACGCTATTAAACTTATTTTATTTTTAGGTTTTTTTACGCCCACCTGACACATATACTTTCACGAAGGAAAAAAAAGAAGCTATTTTTTGGAAATAATGATATGTTTCCGATTTTGAATTACGATTTTAGCTTATTATAGTACTGCTTTCAGACATATACTTTTGTTATAAACTATTAGAAAATTTTTACAATCAAGATTTTATCATTATCATGTATACACGAATAGTAGAATAGTTTTAATTTTAATCTGATGTTCAAAAATTTTCTTTATCAAGGATTCAGAGAAGAAGTCTTGCATGCTTATAAGGAAAATATTTTTAGCATTTCATACTACTATAATGAAAGTAAAGACAAGGAAAAAAAAAAGTTTGTTTTCTCTTATGAATTACAACATAATAAATAGTATTCAATCTAGAGAACCTATCAAAATTGACTGCATTTATTCTAGAGTATAGACATTGAAATGAAAGCCAGAATATATAAGAAAAAAAATTCTAAAAACATATATAATCGATTTAAAATGCTTTTCTTTTTTGGTTTTATGAATTGAAGAAAGACTAATGAATTATTAAATATATAACAATACTACATTCAAGGCAAAAGAATAACAAATGTTCAGCATATTTATCTATTATACATAATATTCACCAATTTAAATGTTTTTACTATACATCATGCAAATCAACTGCTTTATCCTGGGATGATTTCCCTGTAGTAAACTAAAAGAAAAAAAGCGAATAAAATATTAATATTCAAATGAATGACTATCATTTGAACATATGCAGTTTCGATCTGTGATCATTGTTACATTGACAAAAATAAGTTTCTAGGGAATACTATAATTAATTTTTTGTATTGTTAATTAGAGAGTGTCATATTGATTCAGATTGAATGATTTTTATTTTTTGTCAATTATGACAATGTAATCAGTTTCAATGTTATAATTATATATTTTGTTATACTATGAAGAAAAAATTAGCATTCGAAATCAACCTGTCTTGTAATTTTACTAAAATTACTATCGAACAATCTCCGATGATTATAATAAAAAAACATAAAAATATTACGACGTTGTATATCTTTAGCATATATATATAAAACGTAAAAAGAAACTCTTCATATTTGAACTTATTTTTCAGTTAATTGACGAATAGTATGATAATATTGTCATGAAAAGACATGTCCGTAAGAGAAGATTAGTATAAGAAAAATGTACTTCAAGTTTCTCAACATTAATTATCTTTTTTTAACCTTGTAATTATGATAATGAGTGCAGTTTAATATAAGAAAAACCGTCTAATTTTCTTCTATTTTTTGAATTGAATTCCTTGAGAGATACACAAATCCGTTGTTTTTTAATTTAAAAACAATTAAGAAATAATTAATTTGGGACATTTAGATTTATCGACTATATATCATTTCTATGAAGTTTTTTTTTTTTTTTTTTTATGCAAATATTTTGTACTTTGATATGTAAGTCAAAGTACATAAGTGTTAATAATAAAGTCAAGGGAAGTTCATTAGATGCAATTTCAAATTGCCATAAAATAATTAATTGATGTCTAATGCTAGAAAGCAATTAGAGTAGATTTCCGGAGAAAAAAAAAGAATCATTTCTTTAATGATGACAATTTATTATGATAATAAAAGCGTCATTCAATTGCTGAAATTCATAGTTATTAATTTTGAATTTTCATCTATATTTTAATATATAGAAAAAAAAACGATTTCATAAATATTATATTCATTTTTTTTTCTAGTTATTATTACTTAATTTTCATCAATCATACAACACCATGTTATAATGTCAATGAATTTTGTTCGTGTCTTTTTTCCTTTTATACAAATATTATAAAATTCTTTACATAATTTCTCTAGTAAAATTTTTTCAACACTTTATTGAATATTAGCCAAGACAGAGAGGTTGATGATATTTACTACACTTCTTCATATTAAACTCAGAGTTATATACAAGAGAGTGAACAGATAGCTCTTATCATTCATAAGATCAAAGTATCTTGTCGAATGGTGACTGAACGTTCTCACTAGTGTCTCGCACGGATACGAATTTTCGCAATCGGGAACTAATCGACATCTGGCAGATATTTTCATAATTAAAGACCAGTTTTCAAATTTTTATATTATATGAAAAAGTATGCTATTTAGTTTCTTCCATAAACAAAAAAAAATTCATGAGTCACTTGATATTTTTTCGATCAATTCCACAAAGTCTACATTTGCTTGTTGTTGATGACATTGTGATGGAATGCAGTGTTGATGCCAAAAATCATAATTGCGGTTGCATATATGAATACGTTTTCCATTATGATAATTTATTACGCTTTCCATCCATAGGATAGCTGAGAATTTTTGAGCTACGAGCTGTTTCCCTCATGAATTCTTTTGAAGAATGAGCAGAAATGGGCAATTAAAAAAATTAATTAGGCTACAATTTTTTAAAAATCTATTGTCATCACAAAAACTAATGTTTATTGAAGAGAAATTCGTTATTCTTAACTAAGAGGAGAACTTGTTTGCTTTTTTTTGTACTGTTTTATAAACTTTGAATATATTATGTTAAAAAGCATAAATAGAACTGTTAGTAAATTTCATTGGAATAACGAGTATTGTAACGAAACAGAAAAAAAACAATACTGTTGCATTGTCATCATCGAATTAATAGCAAACATAGTCAATGGACCTTTCTGGATAATTTGATTAGATCACAACAAAATACAATGTATTAAAATGACACGACTTGGATTTTTATATATGCATGTGTATTAAGATTTTTTTGGTGTTGAGCAATTACCCAATGGGCGTACCCATAGCTACGCCACTGATTCCTATGCTCTTATATAAATTAACAATTTGAAAAAGTAAAAATAGTTTGAAACGTCAAGATTTCATTAATTACCAGATTGGATCCGAGTATGAGATCATACCCGGGACTTGAACTGACTCAGCGAGTTTGCATTCGAATCCATGCTTCGGACGGCCGAACGCCAATTTTATCTATTGCGTTTTTAAAAAATTGTGTTTGTAGAAATATCCATGGACGCGAAACGTGTAGGCTGGTGACACTTGTACCTGACATTCTTTGACTAGACGAACCTTACTATAGTGCAGATATTGAAATTTTTTACATGTTCATCTAGATATTCTGATGATGAAAGCTGAAAAATTGATGCGGCAATAGAAGCCCACTATCTAATTATGTTATCATGATTCTTAGCAGAATCACTTATTTTATTCACACAAAGTGGTTTGTATAGTAGACTTCATGTTTAAAATAAGCATAACAGATCATCAGTTTGTGAGCTATACTATCAATTATTGCTTATTCAGATGAGTTGCAACTGTTACATCACCACAACAGAATCAAAACAACTAGTCGTTAGTTTGTATCCATATGAAAGGAACGAGATGATCAAAATTATGAGACTGTCCGATGTCTAGTCGAACTTTGACTAAAGATAGAGCAAACTTGTATTTTATTTTTATTCATATCATAAACTTCATCGAATTTTTCTTACAATAAAATTATTTTCTCGATAATGCTAGAAAGTATATCTAATCTTTTCTTTAAAATCTTCGACGCATTACATGACCGTCAAAAAAATCGAAAAATCTTTTAGAAAATTTCGACTATCGAGAGACATGTTTTACTCTATGGGATAATGCTAACAATATAATAGAACTCAAACATAAGTCAAAAGACAAAAAAGAAAAAATGTATAGTGTCACTCGTTTTTTTTTCATTTAGCAACTGTAGCTGATAAACTATTTAAGTATTCTATAGCATTTATAATATCGTTAATACGATGTGAAATTGAAATTGTTTCGATCTTGCTCCTAGACTTGCAATAAATTGAATACACATCAGAGTTGGAATTGGATAGGTTTTTTCTGTCCGGTCGGAAAAATTTTACAACCAAACTGACAAAAAAATAACTAGTACGTGTTCATCAAATCTGTTTTCTTTCATCTTTATTTCAAAAAAGAACAAAAATAAAAGTAAGTTCATAACAAATTTAACACAAAAATATAAATATTTATTTTTCTTGATTTAGACAACACTTGCCGAAATAGAACAAGAAAATGAATTATTTGATCTAGGTTGAATTGAGCGATACTACGAGAAAGAAATTGATAGAAATATAAAGAAAACAATCAATCATTTATAATCGAGTCGAAGACAAGATATCTATTGAGTTTTTCACATCTCGTTGAGAACCACCAATACTGTTCACAATCAGTAACAGAAGCACAAGAAGAAAGTACAGATCAGAACAATGATTTTTCAATGAGTAATAACTAATTGAACGAAGAATGTAGATCTCATTACGATCAAAAGTAACTGTCATTAAGATCACCGCACTGCATATGCACTTACTTGACTACTGCACATTTTCTTTCTTTCTATTTCGACTTAATAATAACACTCTAAACATGCTTCCGACTTGAAAATACCATAAAAGCACTGTTTTCAATAGAAAAAATTCTCGGATACAAACAACTCTCTCAATTTCTTCTAGAAATTCTGAAATGGTTTTTATTAAAAACAAAACAGCGAAGCAAACATCGTTCCAGGCTACATGTTGAGATATAGTCTATTTTGTAACCTCGGAATGCATTTCTTTTCACAAAAAGATCTACAAGCATTTTTTGACATAGACACAAACAAAAAGGCACTGAATGTGTATTCAACTATTGTTTTTTTCTAATAAACTATTTCTTCATAGACAATCATATTCATTGACGTTAGCTTGACACTAATAACTATGTTAGTGGTACATTTTTCACTGTGAACGAAATTTCATCTATACTATTCAAATCTCGATATAAAAATAAATTTAACAATTTATTGATTCAGCAGATTTATATAATATTCTATATTTAAAATATCGCTTGAATTATATTTTATTATTTCAATTAAATAGACAATATAAATACAAATTATTAAAATTATATAAAAAAACATTTAGTTAATTTAACAATTGGTATACTTGAACATGAATTATCATTATTCCATGTTGTAGAATAATGCATTGTAAGTAAATCATTTTGTATCCAAATAAATCTACTTATTGCTCGTATACCTTGACGTTTTATTTTTTGATCAATATTTTCTGCATTCCATATAATATCAATTAATATTTGTTCTAAATAACAAAATAATGCATTCATATAAATATAATCAACATTAATTGATGCTGAACCACCTTTATTTGTATGTATTTGACCAACTCTTGATAAATATTCAAGAAATGAATCATTCCATTCAGGTTGTGTTAATACACGTTTTAAATAAACAGTCAACATATCTTTTCGAAATTCTGTTTGAACAGCATCTAATGTCATACCAAATTCTTTATTTGATGTAAAATTTTCAAAACCATCATTACGTAAATGAAAAAAACGTTTTGTTACATCAAATGAATATAATTTTTTATAAACTAAATCAATAGCCTTTGGTAAAAGTGGAAATATAATTGGTGCCAATATATTAAGTGTTGTTACATCATGTTGACTAAAGTCAATAAATTTTGATAAAAAATCAAAACGATAACGAAGATTATTGTTAAGTCGAGTTTTATCTATATGTTCAACCATTATGATAATAATATTTTATAAAAATGGCATGTTTTCTTTGCTAGTTCTCTCTAAATATATATATTTCATATAATCATATTAATGCTAATTCGTGCATGATTTACGTTTCCTTCATCGGTAAATAAAAAAGAAAGAAAGAAAGAATATGTTTGATTTCTTCAGATTTATTTATTTCAATAATGTGATTTAAAAAACAAAGATACTTATAATGAAATGAACGATCGAGAAGAATGAAAGAAAATCCGTTGATGCTTTCAGGAAAAAAAATCTCTTGGCAAGATCATGTATGAAATGTTATCTATACCGAAAAAATTGTACATAATTCAACATTATACCGGGTGGCCCAAAAGTAAGGAAACAAAAAGGGTATGCTATAATAATGGATAATAGATTGTTAATGATGTTTTTTACACTTTTTATTGATGTGGAAAGCTGAAACTTTCAGACATAAAAGATCTTAACTAGATATATATGTGATAAAAATTTTAGCTCTCTACATCAATATAAGGTATGAAAAATATCATTAACAATTTATTATCCATTAGTATAGCATATCCATTTTGTTTCCTTACTTTTGGGTCACCCGGTATTTCTTATGAGAATGTTCCGAGGTTCAAAATCTTAGGAAAAATTATGCGCAATTTTTAAAGTCACATTCGCAATTACTGTCATTTATGAACTCTTTGGTTACCAACGACGTATATATGCATCACGATCTTTATCATAGTGTGAAGCAGACGTAATCGCTCATAATGCATGTTTTGTTTGTATCCATTCACATAAAAGCAAACATCAGGCAATAGGAGCTTTTATACCATCATTTTGTTTTGGCACATGCTAGAATTACACCATAAATAATTATAACGAACTTTCTTGAAAATATATTTTTCTTTCTTATGTCGGTAACTAAAGAGAGTGCGGATGTGATTTCTATCTCCGTTCCCACGCACTCCGGCACCCACATCCATCCTTAAATTTTGTCCACAAATGTATTTTGAAATAGCTTTATTTGACATTTTAGGATCTAGGGGATGTAGTTTGAGAAATACAATTTCATAGTGTTGTGATAGAAATAATGGTATGTTTAAAATTTTACGAAAGAACAATGAATAAATATGATTAATGTATTACATATTTTATTAAAGATTCAGTAATGGTACTGATTCACTTTAGATATAGCCTTCATTTACATGCTTCGATATGTAATGTAACAAGTATACCAATTAGAGCGTACAATATATCTAAAGTGAACTAATACTTAATTAAATTTAAAGATATATATATATTATATTTTTCTTTGAACAATTATTCACTGAAACTATTGAGTAATAAGATTTCGAACAATGCTTCAAGGATATATATATATATATATATATATGGATAAATCAAACAAATGACATTGTATAGCCATTCAAGCATACATTAGCCAACTATCAGTGACAATGCTTTCGTTTTTTTTTCTATTGTTCAGATGAACACCTATGGAATAAAAGAGAGAAATTAGAAAAACAATGTGCATCATTTTGTATGACATGTATATAGCGTACTATGAATGAATAAAAAAAAACATAAAGAGAATGGTCTCAAGCAAGTTTGAATATTTACCAGTTGATATTCTTTTTGAAATTTTTGTTTATTTGTCTCCTGGTGACATTCTTCAATCATATTTATCTTAACAATTATTATAAATGAATATATGTGGCACATCCATATCGGTAGTAACAGAATGTCATTATCGATATTCAATCATCTTTGTCAAAATGTATTAAAATTGATAGGAGTTCGCGTTTGTCTCATTACGTATTACATTAAATAATATTATTGGTGGTTGATCACTCGTTTCATCATCTTTAAAATATCATCAGACAATCTTACTTCAACGACTTCATCTAATCGATATTAAACCGTATGAATTTGATAAATGATTGCCTAGTTCTGTAATAAGACAACTACATACTTTACTAGTTGATGTAACACAACATAATCCTTTCAACTATCACAAATCGTAGAGGGAGTATATTTAGTTAAGGTAAGAAAGCAAAATATTATCATGCATATTTTTTTATCTTTATAAAAGGTGCGTTCACAACCGCCGGCTCTAGAAATTTGTCGTCTTCTATTTAATTTTTGTTCAAATTCTTGTGATAGATTATCACAATATTCAGTATTACCACCACTGATGACTTTGCCATGTCTTTCCAATACAACTTATCTTCGTACATTGAGCATTGGTATTAAAACATCACACTTTTTAGAACGTTTACTTGTTTGTATACCACTTATCGAAAATCTCTCTGTTGGTGTACATGATTCAGAGAAGTATGAGAATGATAATTTTAGTATATTCAAGTAAGTAACATATAGTGATTTATATAAGTAGAAATGAAATAAAATCATTTAGATTGCCTGCCGCTGTCAGTACTTATCTTCTTCATCGTTTATCTCGTCTTTGTTTGAACTGTTTGAATAACAGAAGTTTTCATCGAACCGTTGCGCTTTTATCATCTGTATTTGGTCAACTTACTCATTTATCAATAAAATTAGAAATGTGATCATCAGTATCTGATCCATTTATTGTATCCGGTGATACTATTCATCAATTGTGTATTGATCGTCTCAAATCATGTGCAATCTATACTCTTAATCTATTGCTGACTATCGAGAGAGATTTAGAGGAAAAAATAATCCTGAATTCGTTTTTTTAAAGCTGCGTTTACTTATCGACAACCACTGGCTGTAATTATTCAAGAGAATTCTTGCTTTTCTTGTAGTACTTCTGATACTTATTCTTTTATCGTTTATACTTTACCATATAATGGTATAATTCTTGAAACATCACTTTTTTTTCTGAAAATCTCCAAATGTATGTATGAAATATTTTCTACGAAGGAGTTAGAGATATTCTTTTCTGTTTAGATCTTGTCAAATATCAGTTCATGGAATAAAATTATTTTTATATGCTAATGAATTATCTATCGAAGTTTGTAAAAGAGAAAGTCGTCTTATAGATCTCAGTAATTGCAGAAATTCAATATCATTATTCGTTCCATGATCGTTACTAAAAAAAAAATTTCAATGGAAAATAACAGTACTATTAGTCCAGTTCAGTTCGCATCAATATTAAAATTAGTTTATAACATACATATATTAGAAATCGATGATGAAGATGGTAATTTAGTTCATGCTTTATTAAATAACGAAGATAATCTCGGTACAATTGTTAATCGACCAGTAAGTATTTATGTTTTAAAATAAAAATAAAAATGAAATTTTTGCTTCTTGATTACTTTTATTTTTATTCATATTAGAATTTAATTTCAACAAAATTTTAAAAAATTTAAATTTAGTTTTGTGAGGACGATAAATCGTTGTAGACTTTTGATTTATTCATTTTGCTAATCAGTCAACATTTTCAACAGTCGAATAATACATTATTCGACTGTATATTTTCTCTATGAATAATTTTCTACATGATTAAGAAAACCTTTTTGAACTTGTTTACTCATATGATCTTGTGATGAAGACTTATAACCTTCTCCGTAAATACCTTTATCTATAGCAAGGAATCGAAATAAAGAATTTACACTTGAGATTTTGCCTATGAAATTGTAGACATGTTTTTCAAAAGAAGAAATTTTCAAAACACAATCATATACTAAAGGAAGAATATAATAACTGGATGTATCTTGAGAATGATACTATTTGCTGATGTTAAAATTATGAAGACATTCTAATGACGATTAATTCTATCTATAAATAAAATTTCAGATGAAAATTTTTCAACGATTATAACTCTTGATTACTAAGACATATACTCCAATGTTTTTTTTTATCTGATTAGTTCTCTAGAAGGTCTACTTCTAGCCAAAGTATCTGACAATTGAAGATATTGCCTTATACGAGATATCATGATTTCTAATGAAATAAAAAATGTTTTTCTTTAAAAGATCTAATTTCTATTTATTAGATATAATCATTTCATATAATCGATTGATCATTGGAAATGTGTAATGTAGAAGATTTTTGTACGCTTCTCACTAATCAATTACTCAATTTGAAAGATGTTTCGTTCGCTATCTTTAAGTCATTCCGTGAACTGCAAAGAAAACTACCGCACACTGTTGTTTATCAGAATGAATCTTCGAAATATGTCCATTTCCTTGTTGATCATATACAACAATTTGCTTCACTTTGTATAAGTTTTACGTCGATTCCTTCTACTACACCCTGTCTTCCATCTACAATTCGACGGCAACTATATGAATAGCTACTTAATCGATTACGATGTTCGTCTGAAGAGATTCAAATATAGCTTTAACTATGTTAGGACATATTGTTATTGTAAATATTTTCACAACGTACAAATACTACCGAAACATTCAATATTGGACAAAATGTCGTTTTTTTGTAAGCGATGTGTAGAACTAATGATTTAGGATAGACTAATTTTATATATGAAATTATTCAATCAATTAAAAATTTAATAAATAAAAAGATGAAGCCTTTATTCAAACTATTCTTCATCATTATTTTTTTTGAATCTAATTCAAATTTATTTGTTAAGATATGAGCTCATGAGAAAGAATATATCTCAAGACATGATATTATACAATAGTCATTTCTTTCTAAAATACATTGTTGTCATTGCTAATGTTATCATTATATAATTAGATAATCTTAAAGTACGAAATATTCATTTTCTTCATTGTATTCCTATATATTATTATGCATCGACAGTTATTTCAGTTAAACATATATACATAAGACTTATATAAACCATAGAGGGTTTGCTTTTTTTTCAGTTCTCTGTTATTCAAAAAGAATACAAGCAATTATCTGCAAAAATCTCAATGTACGTGTATGTTTAGCAAAAAAGATTTTTGAGTGCAATCTAGATGTAAATTTGTATGTGAATCAGGTGTTAGAAGAACTTAAGACAGTAAGAATTTTTATGTACAATTACGTCAAATAAACTAGTAATGATTCTTTGTACGACATGCCTTTATAATTACGAATACTTAGTCATCACTTTTTTACATAGACTATCCAGTGTATGAACTGAAGAGTCTTGCCATTCAGGAGATATAGAACTTTAATAAAACTCATTTGAAAGCGCGCTTTAAAGTTAAGAGTTAAAGATTCAATATCTAGCAAATTGTATTGTCAATTAAGGTGAAAGATTTTGTAAAACAACGTTCCAATTGATGAAGATATAGAATTCAATTTTGCATGAACCTGACCAGCCACTTTAAGAAGAGAGGATCTGCCAGAAAACCTAGGTATCAAATACCTGCATGACTAAAGAAATTTTGTTTATTTTGGATTTAATTGTCTGATAAGATAGATCTTACAACGATAGTGTTAAATACAAAATACCAGATTGATCAGACAATTCATTCCTGGATTATGAGGTATACTCTGACAGTAGATCTTATAAAAGTAGCATAAAAATGATCATTTTTTTGTACTTTTTAATGTCAGATCATGTATTTTTCCACTCTTCACAAACATTATGATACGGGAAAAAACCCGAGTTAGCAATGTATTTTTTATCGAAACAGTGAAGCATTTCTTTCTCATTTGTATTTCAACTCGTATGATTCAAATTTGTGGGAAGATATCAGAAATTTTATGACACTTGGTGAAAAACCCTGAAAAATTGCATCTTCATCTATAAGAATAGGTGACTAAAGTTGATGAGTCATAGAGATAATTAAATGATCGATATAATGTATGTTCCTCCAAAGAGAGAGTTGATAAGCATTGATAGAGGTCTCCTAGTGATAGCTTCACCGATGATTCGTCATAGAATGATTTATATGATTTGGAAAGGAATGAAACTTTGCAAAAATAAAGACTAGACTAAGTTTCTATTTTCCTCTAATTTCCCCTGACATACTTACAAAAACAAATTGACTCATTTATGACATAGATATAACATATGGATATTACTAAATTATACAAAAGCCTGTTAATATTCCTTTGCTTTTTTTTTGCTTATACCTTTTATGTTTACTTTTATTCGGTTCATTGAAGCGTGACACCGGTCAAATTTTATATTATATATTGAGTAATACAAAATAAAAAAAAAACGAGAACTAAATTATGGTAACTAATAATGATGAAATATGCGAAGGTTTGTATAATACTGATTCATGGGATCTATTTGATTGTCATTTGGGATCTTATGTTATATCTCTATTACAATTACGTTATGTTAGTTCAAAAACTTCAATTCTTGGACGAGCATTACGTCATGGTATTGTTGATTTACTTGATCATATAACAAAAAACATTAATCAACATATAGAAAATAATACAACTACTATTGGTACTGAACATCGTTTATATCATTCACGTAATTATACATTAAATATACAAGAAGATAATATTCCATATTCTATAATAAATAATAATGATAATAAATTTAATATTGAAATAAGTTCATTAGCACCAACTGTTTTTTATCAATTACGTGAAAATATTGGTATATCAAATGAAAATTTTCGTCAATCATTTTTTCAAAATAATTTAAAAGATTTTACAAATCCTGGTAAAAGTGGTTCATTAATGTATAAAACATATGATGATTTATTTATTCTTAAAACTTTACGTGATTATGAAGCACGTTTATTAATACAAATTTTATCTGGTTATCATTTACAATTAACACAACGTGTAACAATATTTAATCGTTATATTGGATTATATTGTATACGTTTACAAGGATCAGTATCAACTATTAATATTTTTATTGTTATTATGCTTAATACATTTACACCATCATTAAAAATTAATGAAATATATGATTTAAAAGGTTCAAAAATTAATAGAAACTCTATGGGAACTTTATCTTTGGAAAAATTTTATCATTTAAAAGATATGGATTTTAGAGATTTATATCCATTTGGTATACGTATACCAACAAATATATATTCTAAATTAAAAATTATTATAGATAATAATACAAAAGTTTTAAAAAAACTTAATATAATAGATTATTCATTAATTCTTGGTATAAGACATTTAGATATGTCAGAAGATGAAATGATATATCGTCTACCAACAGGAGGAATTTCAGCTCTTCTTCATTTGAATGATAGACTTGGATTAATGTCCATGGAAAAATTTTTACCCAATATTCAATCATCAAATTTAACAAATAATTTAACATCTTTATCATATTCATATTTAAAACCATTAGAAATGATTCAAGAAAAAATTGATATGAATTTATATTATAATAATGATTCTATTGCTCATGCAACTTTACCTATACCTGGTATTATAAATAAAACTAATCAACGTGTTTATATATATTTAACTCTTATTGATATGCTTCAAACATTTGATAGTTGTAAATTACTTGATCATACATTTCGAAAACTTACTAATCATAGTAAACATCTTGAATATTCTGTTATTGATCCAGAAGCTTATGCAAAACGAATGAATCAATTTTTATTTGAACATGTTTTTATTGATGCTAAAGATGATTTTCCATGGACTATAACTAGTGTTAGTAAACCTGTTGCTGATCTTAATAATAAAAGTATGAAAAAGAAAAAATCCAATCAACAAACAACTTCTCTTCCTACACGACGTCATTCACTTGATCGTCAAATTTCAAATACTATTGTGGAATTTCGTTTATGAAGCTTGTTTTTTTTTATAATACATACACAATATTTATTTTAAAAAAAAAAATTTTTTTTTCTAATTTAGAATTTTGTCTCAGACATACAATATCACATACACTTATGAGGTAATTACCCCAGCTGACACCTGTCATTTGAGTTCATATAGGATCCACATCTAAAGATGGTTTGCCTTTATCGATCAATTTAGTGAATTTTCGATTCATTTGTCGGTAGTTCTAAAAAACATCAAATGACAGAATTTCAATCTAAAACTTTCGTCTAATGACGATTAGAATATTTTTAGAGTCATTAGGCCTATCTATAGTTATTCAGTATTCCTGAAAGTATCTAACAATGGATATTACAAATACAGTAAATTGATTATAAATCAACGTCAAAGATCAATGAAGACGAACTCTTTTAGACTTTTCTATTCTCATGAAGATCTGCCTGTGGGTTCAATATGAACTCAAACGGCAGGTATCAAGTTGGAGTAATTTCCGCGTTAGTACAATACATAACTAAAGTAATGATGTAAAAAAGAAAAAAACCTTTATATCTAATTTATTCAGTAAGAAAAAGTGAATAATAATCAATAAACAAATAGAGAGCAAGGAAAAAAAGCAATCTATGTATCATCCATTTAGGAAGATTCATCAAACAAAAGTACAACATTAGAAAAACACATCATCATAAGAATCTTGATTTACTATTTTTCAAAATTCTAAATAACCATAAGACCTATTAAAACTATTATGCTTCTCTGCATCATCATGAACGTTAGTATGATTTGAAGAAAACTAAATTGAATATTGTAATTCTAAATTTGTTTTGCAACTATCACATCAGTATTGGAAGCGAATTGATGTAAATCTGAAAAGAAAAAAAACATCACGAAGTCAGACAAAAGATGCCATTTAACGAACAATAGAAAAAATAAAAAATCGATCAGTATTTGATCATCGTTTAAATATAATTTTTCAGTTAAAAATACATTTTAAATCTCACTTGCTATTTTGCTTCTGGGGTGTACACTTGTCATTAGAAACATAATGACTGACTGAAAAAGCGTAACTTCGATTGAATATCTCAAAATATCATTGACATTTCTGTTCTTTCCATTGATAGATGACGCTCGATTAGTTCTATATGAAACGAGACAGCGTATAAAATGAAAGACTTTTCATTAATCGAGATGCTTAATTAAGATGTTTTCTCTGCTAAACGTTCAATAGAGATGTGTTTTGTCCATATAAATACTAAAAGTGAGTCTAAAGACGTTACAAACAGGTAGCTTACAGAAAGGTCGAGTTTACAAAAAAGAAGAACGCTACGTAGACAGTTTTCAAAATCAACTAAGAGATGACGTGAAGATAGAATAATACTCAGTAAAGAAAAATGTTGTGCATCGATCGCAATCAAACATTTTTGTAATCAACGTTGGTTACGACTAACACGCAGCAGTTTTCTTTGCCGAAGATTACTCTTTCTTCAAGCTTCAACCAGTGTTTTGAAAAGAAGATCCACACCAATCTAAATTTCATTAACTATTTTTATTTTATTGTTTAATGTAGAACAAAATCATTCGACTTCAAAATCTCTATTAAAGAACATGCTTTTTTATCATTAGTGGTTGTATTCGTTTTGTAGAGAGACTAGAGAATGAAAAATAGAATTTGCTGGTGTTAGTGTGTATAAAGACAATAAGTATTTACATCTTGAATTCATTAATCATCTATCATGATATGTCCACGGTGCATTCAGATCAATGATGTTCTTTCCAATTTTTAATGAAAATCACCAATAACAAAACAAAAATAAAATAAAAACTTAGCTAATGATATATATCCATACGACATTATTGCTGTTCGAATATTGATATCATTCAAAGGGAAATCAATGAATTTCCAAAATCCTGAATCTCTGAATATGCAATGGGAATTCCTAGAATCTTGAAAATACGACAGAATCTCATGGATATGTAATGTAGGCGTATTAAAAACATCGCAAGCGTAGCTATTTCGCATACAGAATTCTTTTCATGTATGGATTGAACAGAAAATAATATGGTATATACTATACAATTATCATTGAGAACATTCTAAAGCTGAACTCATTAAAACATTACTCAAATTCTTCTATTTTATATTGGCTTTTCTAAAGTAATTGATCAAGTATTTTTTTTTTTGTTGGCATATTTGTGATCTATGATCTCTAACAGATATACTTTTATTGAACAATGACGATTTTCATAATTTAGTCTAAGAAATTGTTAACTTGTTCGAAGCAGTGAACAATTTATGAAAATAAAATCTCTGTTAGTTTGGTTTCCGAAGATGGTTCACAGTTTATCGTTAGTGGAAAATTAAACTCATTTTCTATATTGTTCCTACTGCATACTTCAGTATTCAACGATTTTTTCAGCTTCCAAAATACAATTTAGAAAAAAAACTACACATTTCTTTTTTGTAGTTATTTCTCGACAAAGAAATTCACTGTAGATTTTTCATGCGCTACTGTGGTTAAGAGAGTCCATCAGATAGGAAACTCAAGATTCATGTATAGTCTCGAATCAATATGTTCTAAGAAGTTTTAAATCTTCAAATTATCTCATGATATTCTTATACATCGTGAGATTGAAAAGACAAGATTCAATATTGTCAAACATTTTTATTATTTGTCTTCTATACTTTCTGCTAATATTGTGTGGAAATCTGTGAGTATTAGTCTAGTTGACGTGGTCAGGTGTGGATGTGAGTCTAGAGTATAGATATATCTCAACCTACACTCACCTACCCTTTGCGAGCTCCTAAGTACTAATCAGACGATTGTCACCTGTGTTTACACTCAACGGTTGCAACATTTGTATGAAACTCTAATTCAAAAGCGATCAATTTTAGTAAATCGAAAAGGTATCATTCTTCTGCATGATAATGGAAAAACTACACGTTGAACAGTCGAGTCAGTCCAAAGGTATAAAGTTGCTACAAGATGTTCGTAACCATCTATGCGACAACCATACGAACACTTTGATGAACTCAAATCTGACGTTGCTAACTTTTTCGAATTACTGTCAGCTAATTTCCTACAAATGTGAAATCGAATAATTTTCAAGAAGATGAATAAATATTATCGAAAAGAATAATGATCACACCATTGGTTGATATTACATATCTTTCATCTAAAATATTTAGTTCTAAACAAAAAGATTGACAGAACTTATCTTCGAATTCAATACACTATATATATTTATTTAAACAAAATTGATTTTTTTCACATACTACTACAACACGCATAAGACAATTTTTTTTTAATTTAATACTTTATCTTTTCATCTTTCAAAATATCATTGAATAACTTATTTTTGCATAAGGAAAATATTCTTGTAAAGAATTGGAACATATTGATTCACCACTTAATTCTAATTTATTCATTTTAGTACAATTAATTCGTGTAGTATCTCTTGTAAAATTATGTGTTACGCGTTGTAAAGATTCACATTTAATACGAAGAAGAACATTTTGAAAATATGATTTAGTATTAAAGAGAAATTCTTCAATATAATCATCATGGACATTGAGAAAATCAAGTTCACTAAGAAAAGAATATTCAATGATAGATGAATTTCGATTAGTATTGTTTAATTCATAAGATTGTTTATGATTTTGTGGTTTACGATTAAACACAGTTAATTCTTCCATAAATGGAAATGATCGAACAATTCTAAGAAAAAAATCATGTTCAAAAGGATGTTCATCGCGTAATGACACTGCACGAACATAATTGAATAATCCACCTGGAAAACTATTTGTAATATCAACGTAATATGGCATTAAAAATGGATATGAATAAATATGACATCGACCTTTTTCTGTCTCTGGAAAATAATCAACATAAGAAATAATTATATTATTTTGGAAGTCAATGAATGTACGTTGAATATCTTCGGTTGATGGCAAATTCAATTTATTACCAGTATATATCAATGAGCGAATATAAAATGTGAATTGATTTAAATTTGGCATACGATAAATAATGGTTTTTTTCAAATGGTTTCCATCAATAAATGTTTTATTAATAAATACCACAAGATACAAACTGAGTTTTTCTAAATTTGACATTCGATACAGAAGTGGTAAGATTAATTCATCGTAATTAAATGTTTCGTTCTTACAAGACAAAGAAAAATACTTTAGAATTGGTAAATCTCCCTGAAAAAAAGCAAATTTTTTCTTTTGTTATTCAAAAACATATAGATTTTTCTTGTAAAACTCACTTGATTTTGAATCTCATTTGTATGGTGAATTTCAGTCAAATCAACATAAAGTGTGTGAAGTTGATTAAAACGACCATCAAGAAGATAAAGACATTCATAAAAAGATGCTAGTCTAATATTTAGTCTTAAAAGAGTTGAAGAACGACATGTATGAGAAGGTGGATGAGGAAAATATAATGGAACACGATTTTTAAACGATGGTTTATAAAATGCCAAATAAATTAGATTGGTGAAAACAATGAAAATATAATCAAATATGTTTCTTGCTGACAATAACATTTCTTCATAATCATCACTGTTATTATTATTATCAATGGTAAGAATAAGTGTTGTAATCTGATCTTTGAAAATACCAGATGAAAGAATTTCATCTAAATATATATATATACATACAATATTAGTATAAAAAAACTTAGGAAGATAATATCAATATATTCATATGGTTCAGTCAGCTATATGAATAAGTTTGATAAATCTTTTTGATTTATTTAGAATAAAGATAATTCAATTGAAATTTCTTACCAGTAAAAAGATATCGAGCTGATTCTTGATTAATATTGTAAAGACCAAGAGTATGTAAATTAGGATAATGAGCAGCATGTAAAATATATTTCATAGATGATGATTCAAGATCAAGCCATTTGATTTTATCATGAATTTCAGGTAAAATTTGTAAACAAAATCGATTAAGTACCATATTACAATGAAATACATCGATAAAATTATGTAATAACCGTTTAACAAAAGTTAAACGACTTGTAAAAATTGGATCGTAAATAATATGATTTAGTCGTTGATTGACACCTTGTAAAGAATAAAGTACATCTAGATTATTGAGTTTTTTGAAAATAATCATAAGAATTTCAGCAGGTAAATCACTTAATCCAATACATGAATATTCCATGTTTATTTTTCACTAGTCTATTATTCTCAATTTATGAATGTCAATATTTAAAGGCATATATTCATCCGTCCTATTTGACTCATATCGTCAATACAAACAATAGTACAATTTTTCTCTAGTCAAAATTGATAATGAATTGAAAGAATGAATATTGCTATTTGTTTTTTTCTCATTGGTCTAATATATCATAAAATAATAAATGATATTCTTTATTTATTGATTGATTTTATATTGCACCAGATTACTTGTAGGATTCAGTTAATATTTAGTTAAAAACAAGTTCTCTGATCATTTTAGTAAAATGAATCTCAACGTTTAAGGATAAACTCTAGAACATATAATTGATTTGAAATTTCGTATTCAGCTATAAGAGAATTTTTTCCTTTATATATTTGTATCCTAGCGCTTTGTTAACGACAACTAAATCGGTTGTTTTATTGCAAAATTCCCCAGAGAAGTTTCACAGACTCATAAAAGATCTAGAGAAGGTATCGTTTATCTTTCAAAAAAATGCTATTTATATTGACTAGCTATTTTAAAAATCAAATGCATGAAGTAGAAATTTATGATTTTTTTTAGATCGTACTACTAATTTTAGTTTTTGTTTTTTAGTAGCAACTTCATTCAACAAAAGTCTTGAAGACTGAATTTTCCAGATCATGTAGAATATTTTAAGATATATATATATAATTTAGCGTTCATTACCGAAAAGTACATAGATTGTTAGTTTGCCAATCTACATTGGTAACACCAATGATTTTGTCCATAAATGTATCATTACATATGTTTATGTTAAAACTACAATGATATTAATAAAAGAAAACATTTATTCAGGAATGTACATATATATGATGAAGCATCGGCATATTATATGTCGAGATCATTATTAAGATTTAACAGGTGTATGTCTTTGTGTTAGTTTCTTGGATATTCTAAACACTCTTATTCTATTGTTACACACATTACTTGTCGTTATTGTATGTCAGACGAAAGGGTTACGAAATCGGCCAAACATTGAATTTACAGATCTTTGTCTCATTTATTCTTACTAAATATGACCAAACATATTTATATCTTTGTAGATTAAATGCAAATGATAGAGTCATGTTCTAAATCCAGATAAATCATTTGAAAGAGAAGTTTTTTAATTTATACATTGATTATTTCAAATGATGATTAAAATTCTTGAGTATCTATTCAAAGCCAACCATTAAGATTCTACAAAATTGGAAAGAAAATTCTCTTTTGAAAACTTTTCATTATACTATAGATTGTTCAGATAACAGATTCTGCTTAAAGTCCATTATATCTTTGTTTGGATATCTTATAATAAGAACTCTCTACCAATTGATCATCTTTAAGTCAAACAAGAAATTTTGATAAGATTTTTAAATATAATTTCACCTTTACATGATTTAAATGCTGCTCGTAATAATGTTGATTGTAAACCAAATGCACGTAATTCTGCTGTACTTAATGCATTCAAACATTTCAAATAATCATTGTTCATCTTCAATATCTTTTGACATGTTTATCTGATACATATGATCGAGTATAAATAGAAAAACGAAAAGAAAAAACTAAAGACGAATCTTTGGTTGTTTTGTCTGTTTATTAAAGACAAATGAATATTTAAGTGTATTTTTCGTTAATATGATAAGAAAAGAGAGCAACATGGATTGTCATACAAAAAAAAAAATGAAGTGAAATAAACGAAAAAAGTTGAACAGGAGGACAAAAAAAGAAGAATATACTTATTTTTCTTCAGACAATAAGACAAATATCTTTAGTTAATTGATTCTTTTGTTTTTCTCTCGAGTGATATAATAAGAAAGAAAAAAAAATGACCCATATATATATGTTGTGGCCGAAGTTGGAATTCAGCCCGATTCCGAATTCGTCCAGCCGAAATTAGAATTCTAACTTCGTCTGGACTAAAGTGGAATTCTAAGTTTGACTAAACTGACTATAGACGAAATTAGAATTTTTTTTAATGAATAGAAAACGGTAAACGATTGATGAGAAATATTCATTAATTTTTTTTGTGTTGATTATACATGTGACGTTGTTTTTATCTCTTGATTGATCTTTGATTGAATTCATTCAATAATTGACAGGACGAACGGTATATATTGAAGGACTCATGCGCGAAAGTGTAAAATAAATAATGGCGTCTAATTCAACACTTGAAGTTGATAATCATGAGATCATCTTTTACAAAAAACTCGATGAGTACATTAACTCATTGCATGAAAAATATCGTAAAAAAAGTGTTATCAAACAGCATATTTATAATGATATTCTGCAATGTTTGTCGTTACCTAAAGGAAAATCTTCTGAATCTCATTCTCCAAAATTTATTTATTGGGCAAAATGCCATTTTAACATAGTTAAAATTGCTGGAAATGATATTGTAATCTGTATCAAATCTAAGAAACCAGTTTGTGTGTATGAAGCTTTCTACAAAATTATATTCGAAGCACACAATACTGTTTCACATGGTGGTCGAGAAAAGACCTATTCTGAAATAATTTCGCAATATTCATGGGTTCCTCGATATTTCATCGAATTATTTTTGAAACAATGTCTACCATGTCAAACCAGAAAGCCAATTAAACAGCATGTTGCTTCAAAACCAATTATTTCCTTGGGCGTTATGACACGTCTACAAATAGATCTTATAGATATGCGTACAAGACCCGACAAAATATCATCTGACATTGTATACTGCTGGATTTTGAATTGTATTGATCACTTTAGCAAATTTTCATGGGCTTACTCATTAAAAAATAAAACAGCTGCTGAAGTCGTTACAAAATTACGTGAATTATTTTTTGTTTTCGGTCCACCTCGCATAATACATAGTGACAATGGACGTGAATTCGTTTCAAGTGTTATCATGGAATTAAAAAACTTTTTTCCAAATTTATCATTTATTCGAGGACGGCCAAGGCATCCACAAAGCCAAGGCTGTATCGAAAGGGCTAACGGCATTTTATGTGATGCTCTTGGCAAATGGATGTCCACCAACAATTCATCGAGCTGGTCTACTGCTTTATTACCTGTTATTTATGGTATAAACACCAGAAAATCTACAGTTACCAAAGCAACACCATATGAAATTATGTTCGGACAAAGACCAAGATCAGATTCTGATTTCTGGAAGTTAGTTCAGGAAGCTGGTATTGAAGATGAAGAAAATCTTCCAACTCCAGTAGACGAAATAAATGATAATATGGTTCATGATGCTCCTGATAATCCAAATGATATTGATGAACATATTGATACTGAAGTAGTTGAAATTAATGAACAATTATCTGATAATTTGAGTTCTTATTCATCAACAACTTCATCATTACAATTAATTAATGCATCAACAACATTAACATCATCATCAGCTGACGTAATAACAACACCTACCAGACATGATAAGATTCGTAAAATTGCTACTGATCATTATCTTGCAACAGCAAATAAAAAAATGAAATTATACCATGACAGTTTAAATATGATCGCCAATAATTTTAATATAAATGATTGTGTTGGAATAGAAATACATGCAGTTGATCGAACCAACACCGATCCAAAATATTTGCCATGCCGAATTATTGAAAAAAATGAAAATGATAATGGTTTTTTATACAAATTAATATGCCAATATGGTGTTTTACAAAACGCTTTTGAAGTTGGACAATTAATAAATTTAAATGATGCATGTCCTGATGAATTAAAAAAAATTAATGTTGATGATTTAAAACCAATTACTCTTATTGAAGCATCGAAACTTTATGCTCGTGGTTGTGTGACTGGACGTACTTGTAATTGTCGTAGTAAATGTTCAACAAAAACTTGTCCATGTAAACGATCAAACGTCTCTTGTTCTACCAAATGTCACTCGAAAAAAGGTACCTGTTCTAACATGGAGTAGATTAACATAGAATTTGTGTTATTTGTTGATTTTTTTTGTTAAATAAAATTAAAAACGTGATTCTTAATTTTTGTTTGTTTTTCTATCGTTTTCTATGCATTAAAAAAAATTCTAATTTCGTCCAGTCGAAATTAGAATTCTAATTTCGTCTATAGTCAGTTTAGTCGAACTTAGAATTCCACTTTAGTCCAGACGAAGTTAGAATTCCAATTTCGGCTGGACGAATTCGGAATCGGGCTGAATTCTAACTTCGGCCACAACATATATATATATATATAATATCGAATAATAAATCTCGTGGACTAGATGAAGAATAATAATTTTTCTCTTGTAATCAACACACATACAACAGCAGCACAGAGAAAGGAAAAAAAAACAAAGTATAAAGCAGAAGTAAATATGAAATGAGACAAACAAAAAAAGAAAAAAAAATCAAATATCAACAAAATCTGTTAATATTAGGGATGTCAGCGTTCTGTTCCTAGGCGGGAACGCTTATCAAAATCACATTTCCACGCTATATTTCAACATGGCGAGATCTCTAGACATATTCACTTTTCTTTTTATGCTTGAGCGTTCAGCGTTCCCACTCCTGAGAACGGGGAACGCTACCCCATTCTCCGTTCTCAGGAACGGGGAACGCTGAGCACTCAAACATAAAAAGAAAAGTGAATATGGCTAGAGACCTCGCCATGTTGAAATATAGGGTGGAAATGCGATTTTGACAAGCGTTCCCGTTCCTAGGAACGCAATGCTGAGGAACGGGGCAAGTTGACATCCCTAATTTTTATGAAATTGGCTTTCCTTCGGTGAATTAGTAAAATTTCTGTTAAAAGTGAAAGAAACGTATGTTGCGTTCCAGTTTTAGGAACGGAACGCTGAGGAACGGGGTAGCGTTCTCCGTTCCCAGGAACGGGAGCGGAGTAGCGTTCCCCGTTCCTAGGAACGGAACGCAAAGTTGACACCCCTAGTTAACATGAATTTTCGTTTTCCCTAGACTGAAAGGATAGGGTCTAGAAACCTAAATTTTCTGTGTTTGGATCGGTTACGTCTTTGTTTGTATCGGTGACGTCTGTGTTTGTATCGGTGACATCCTTGTTTGTATCGGTGACGTCTGTGTTTGTATCGGTGACGTCTGTGTTTGTATCGGTGACGTCCTTGTTTGTATCAGTGACAAAGGTCGCTTGAGTATTTTGGCCTGTTCTCCGAGGTAAATTCATCGTTTTGGTGAATTTCGTAGTCACATTCTCGGTTTTATCTTTTGCCAATTTTTTCTAGCAAACTTTGAAAGAAATATCGTATATGTTCTTTTTTTTTTCAAATATCAATCTTCTCTGATTTGCTTTTCGTTTTCGTGTTTTATCGCGCTTTTCTTAATTTCACTTTAGAATATGTTATTATCATAAATAGTTTAATTTTCATTGAGTTTGCTTACTTGAAATACGAAGTTGCAACGAAATAACGGTGCCAACTCGTCTTCTACTGACTTTAATTCTTCCAGTAATATTGAAGAGTATGTGAAAATTTTCTAATTTAGTTGGATATTGATGTGCACTATCACCTTCTCTATATAGTATTTGTTCAGCGTCTTATTCCCCAAAAAGTTGCCGTCAATAGATATCCAAATGTCGACTTCTAAGGACCGAATGCGAGCTTTTCGTGCCCGTCGTGCACTCGTAGAGACTGCTGAACAAAAAGAGAGTCGACTGACTGTTGATAGACAATATAAAAAACAGCGACTGGCTAATCTTCATGTCAATCAAACAAATGAAGAAAAGCAGGAGCATCTTGCATCTCGTAGCCAATACGAAGTGAAACGTCTAGCCAACAAACGTGCAAAAGAAAACGCAAAGGAGAGAAAAGAACGTCTTACAGCGAAGCGTGAGAAAGAAATGAACCGTCGACAAAACTTACGAGCGCGCGAGACTGATGCGGAACGAAATATTAGATTAGAGTGTGATCGTAATCAACATCGGTAAGACTCACAGTTTCTTTGCTTTTTCTATCAAACATTCTTCTTTTCTCTTTCGCTCGTAGGGCGAAAACACGTGCGAGAAATGATTCAAATATGGCAATAAACCGAAACTGCGCTGTATGTGGCTATAAAATCATGACTCAAAATTGGTCACAATTAATTATCAGATCATTTCCGAACCTTCATCGTCTTCGACCTCAGAGCGAAGAGATACCCGATTCTGTTCTGAAAATTGATTTTTCACGATTTACTAGTAAGAATCTATATTGATCGCAAATCATCATTTTGAAACGTTTTCTAAATTAAAATAGGCTATGTTCGGCGATCGTTAGAAACTTTTTCTGGTTTCGATGTTCTCGTGAATGGAGCAATATTAGGACGACGCGGGATCGACACGACAACTGGTTTGATAGTCGTATGCCGTGGTTGTCAGACCTCTTTACAAAACAATGCTACGCCCACATCGGCTTTGAGCCGCTTATACTCGCCAGATAATGCTTCAGATGAGGAATAACTTTCATACTGTATATAAAATTGACGTTACTTAATATTTTTAAGCTGTTCATGCATAAAGACGGAACATTACTATATTTAAACCCAAATTGCTTTCCAGTTTGTCAGTTAATGATATCCTAACTATGAACGGTAGAGAGATTTGATAATTTTCGCGAATGCTATGGATGCCCAAAATTTCGACTACAAAAGCTTAACAATTGGTTCTTTCGAAATTTCTTGTTTCAGAATCTCCAATTCTTCGGTCAATCAAATATATTCAACCATCTGCACTATACGATAAAGTGAATCTTCATTCGATGAATATTATTTCTTTTTTTTACAACTTTTAGACATTTACAGGGTTGGAAATAATATTATTCCAGGGGGGAGGGGTAACGCTATAATTACGAATAGCAACCATAATGAATTTTATACCAAATGAAAGCCCGTAAAAAATGGGGTTTCCTGATACTAAATTGTAAGGGTTTTCAAGATATTTTCATATAATAAACCTTCAAAAGTTTCGCAATCTCGTAGAATACATTCGTTCTAATCTATTTTCAGGGAACTGTAAAGCAAAGAAAAACAGATATTTTCCGTAGAAAAATCGAAAAGATCTTTGTTTAAACGATCATAAGACGTGGATTCGATTGAGAAATAGGACGATCCTTTTACGTCCTATTGTTCGGTCCACCTAGAAGCAGCTATTTAGAAGACTTTTTCATATTTCATATCGGTAAACTATAGTAACTTTTGAAGATGTATTGTATGAAAATATCTTGAAAACCCTTACAATTTCGTATCAGGAAACCTCATTTTTTACGGGCTTTCATTTGGTATAAAATTTATTATGGTTGCTATTCATAATTATAGCGTTACCCCCCCCCC